GGGGCGGGGGGGGGGGGAGGGGGGGTAAAGCGAGACGGAGGGCCGAAAAAGGAATGAGAAGAAAAGAGAGAAAAGAAAACTTAACACAGCCGTGGCTCGGCGGTGCTGCTTGTGCGCTCCTCTCGAAAATATGTTCACATGTACAGGGCAAGCCAGGCATAGAGGTCAAAACACACCGTCTACAGTATGCACCGAGCGAGGTGTAAACCAAACTGACGGATGCGGAGCACGGGTGACACGCCCCCCCTCCCAAACAAAACCGTCTCCTTGTATCCCCGGGCAACGACACGGACGAGGGCGAGACACCTGCTCCGCTGTGTTGTATCAGCTACGATACCAGAGACCGCACGCGCCCCCTTTCACCACCCGGACGCTTTTCGTTCCGTCATCATGGTTGGCGCTCGCGTGTAACCTCGGTGTCCCACGTCCAGCAAGTGACGCACCGGATCAGCTACAGTACGCCCGCCCGTTTTACCACCCGGAGGCTTTGGTCCCCGGAAGCTTCGGTTCCGTCATCATGGGGGGCGCGCGCGCTCGCTTGCAACCTCAGCGCATCACCTCCCACACACGCACAAACAATGCAGCCAGAAAGACAAAAAAAAAAAAAAGGGTACCGACGGGGAGGCTACTTGTAAATTATCCCTTCTTCAGTTCTGTCTTCTTGTCGAGTCGCCTACCTGGACGGCGAGGTGCTCCTGCTTTACATCGTGGCGCCCCCTGCGAGACTCTGGAGCGGGGGCGGGAGCGGGGGCGGCGGCCGGCGCCTGATGAAAAAGCACCAACAACAACAACAGCACACGACAGAAAAAAAACGGCAGCGAGGCACAAGCGCGCGAGAGAGAGAAGAAAGTTCAGACACAGCAGATGCCCCAAGACTACAGAGCCAGAGAAGAAATGACGAAAGGGTCGGTTTTACTTCACATGAGATTCCAGTCGGAACGAAGGTAGTATGTATGGTTCCCGCGCGGGCGTGCAACGGCAAGGAAGCAAATGCGGTGGCTGTTGGAGAAAGCGGTGGATGCTGTGAAGAGACCAGGCATATCAAGCCCCCCCCGCGTGCTCTCCGTGTCTCCGTTTTGTCTTTGTCGGTATGCTTGCAATGATGTCTATCTGTCTCCCTGTCTCTGATTGGACATGAAAAGCGCCAAACAGCACACCATGTTCCCTGTCAAGACCAAAAAACAGCGAACGAGAGAAACGTCACCACACACAACCAACAATCAGACCTGATTGCGTCTTGCCAACAAAGAGAAAACAAATCCCACCAAGAGCTAACAAAGGAGTCGGGCCTGCAACTCGCAAAATAATTCGCAGAAATGGAGGGCACGCGCGCAAGAAACCGCACATCTTTGTCCTCCCATGACTTCAACGACAAGGCACAACCTTCTGCGTGTTTCACGGCCTTTGGTTCAAGGTGTCACGTAAATCATCTTCCTGGCCAATACCTCACACTAACATCTAAGAGAGGGCCACGGGCTTGTACAACCGTCACCCAAGATTACACTTCAGGTTGTCGACACGGCAGCGGGGGGGGGGGGGGGTTGGGATGAGTGCAGGGGTGGATGGGGTGAAGGTCACAGTGGGCGAGTGGCCCTCCCGCGCAGCGACCCGCCAATACGCATCTCCTGCACAGCGACTTTTTCTCTTTCGGCGTGCAATCTACAGCGTAAGCGACGTTAACCAGCACCGTGTCAAAAAGGCTGACACCGCGGTGCTGGAGGGTCGAGAAACAGAGAGAGAAATTACGGACGAACGGAAGTCTACAAAGCTGGATCGTGCCACACGCGCCACGTGTGTACATTGCAGATAAAACTGAAAAAGTGAGAACTGCAGTCAAATATCATCGGCCGACGATCCCATGGTTGTTGGACGATCCCGCTCGACGGGTGCCCACATGGGGGTTTGCGTGCGGCAGCCCCATAGCGGCCATTTGCCCTCCCATTTCGCGACCGCGCACACTGCTCGGGGCCAAGGCCTTCGCTTCAAAATGAATACAAACTCAAGTGCTGCGGCCGCCGCGGCCGGCGGCTGGGTATTTGGAAGATGCGGAGCTGGATCTCCGGAGACAGGCTCTCGGCGTACAGCGGTACGTTTGCAATGGGGACTGCTACTGCTGTACCAAGCGCAGCATTCTTGCTCATTCGGATCTCGAGTGGACCAACCGTTCCGTGCGTCGGCATTTGCCATCAGCCGCGCTTCTATCCTACAAGACTCCACACCACGCGGCGCCCCGTGTAGTTGAGGTTGAGGCTACCGACTGCTACCTGCGGCGGCAGAGCCTCGCCAGTTGGAACGGATTGTTGCACTATTGCTACTAGGAAAGATTCCTCGAATTGCACTGCTGTTGCCAACAAGAGGGGCGGGGGGGGGGGGGCGCACGTTCATCGCATGAACCTTGGGGCAGACGCGGTCTCTGCTGCGTGTTTGAATATTCTCCAGAGGTCTGGGCCGTGAGCCCGAAGGTGTGCTGTATGTAAGTACGCGAGGCAAACCACGGCGCAGATGCTCGCAACCCCTAAGTGCACACATGATGTAGACAGGGCAACAACGCATCGCCGCGGTCATTCGGGCAACAAAAGCAGCCTCTGCTACTTCTTGTGCCGTAACAAATACCACAACATTCCCAGCGGGCACCAGGTAAAGGCTAGCTACAGCTGGGAGACGGATTAGATGAGGTGCGGCCGCTCCCGAGCAAGGCAGGGGGCGCGGAGAGAGGCTGAACCAAAGCCCCTCGGGCCGGTTCTCATGGTGTGTGATTTGTTGAGAGAGAGAGCTGCGCCGATCTCGAGCTAAACTTGCGAGTGTCGCAGAAGGTAACAACGCAACCCCCCTGTGGTCCGGCACAAGCGCATTTTAAGCAAGCCCAGACTCAGCTACACTCCGGCAAACACGGGGGGTGGCATGCACCAGGTACAGCCAGCAGCATTCCAGGAGCACAGCGTGGTACAAGAGCCTGCGGTGAGGCACGCGTGAGCGTGTTGTGTTTGTGTTTGAGCTCGTTCGACCAGCATGTCGCATCTTAGCGGAATATGCCACAGGCGTGATGACATACCTCTTGCGGGCTTTCTGCTTTCGCCTCTGTTGCGGCGAATTCCGACATGATGCGTGTGCTTTCGCTCTGTCTCTCCCTGTCTTCTCTCGTTGCTCTCCGAGAGCTTCCTTTCCCCACCAAGCCAAAGCTGATGATGTGTGGTGCTCCGACGGAAAGGACTCGTGTGTGCCTTTGTACCGCTCTCGATCTTCCGATATACTCCTGCTCAGATGCTCCCGCTCAAGCCCAGCTCCCGGCAACCAGCAAAGCTATCGGTCTTCCCGTTCCACTGCGTTCGGTAGGCTTGCGAAGGCTACGTGCGGCTCTGTCACAGCAGTAGTGCAACGCGGAGCAAGAGAGGGCCACTTGGGGGATCCGCGGATGTACTGTTGTCAAGAAGTTTTGTGGTGCGTCGAAGCGTTTTTGGACAGGGGCGGTGCGGAGGTAGCCATGTGATTGTGAGCTGCCTTTCGCGCTTCGCGGGCCGTACGGCAATCCTAGGAGAGGGCGTCAGACGCGTACGGTGGAGAACGGCGTACATTATGGGAGTGTGGAGGGCTTCGTGCGTCTGGCTGCTGCTGTCGCTGTGCCTGCCTAGCCTGCTTGTCCTAGCACAGGATGGCCAGCAGGTAAAAGAGTAAAGGGGGTCAAGCCTATGAGACATTTTGTTCTTGTTTGGATGTGTGTTGTAGGACGCCGGCGGCCAACTTCGCGGCGCTGCAGGTTGTGTAGAGGAGACGAGGCTGGGGAAAAAAGGAGTTCCTAACGCGGAAGAAAACTACAGCAGCGGTGGTGCTTTGGAATTTCGAGACCAGGCAACCGTACATAGACTGCGAGATTTGTAGCCAAGGGAAAGCACTGCTGAAGCAAGTTCTACCGCCAGTGGGCTGCGTACCGCAACCCGATTTCCTCCGCGACCAAGAGGCAAGAGGGTGCCAACGTGCAAACGAGGCAGTGCCAAAGACCAAAGGGGGGAATGCTCTCGACGAGCCGTTTCTAACGCCACCGTTTTCGGCGCAGTAGCTGCTGTTGTTTGTGCCGCAGAGTAGTCGGGCTTTGTGAAGTTCCGCCCGGGGGGCGTGGTATCTTATTCAGCCTGCGAAGGTTAATGAATTTTTGAAGCATGTGGGCAAATTGCCCACAAGCAACGTGGTATTTGTACTGATTGCGAACCAGACTGCTACACTGCTGCGCCTGTAGAACGAATCTGACCAGTCGTCACATTTACGCTCTCCGCTCTTCTCTTGTCTTGTCATATTAATAGTTGCTTTCTTCGTGTCCTGTAAAGGATCAGGTACTCACGGAGTACCCCCTCTGGTACATACAAAGTATCGGTGAATGGCCGACCCGACACGACACACTGCCCTTTTTCTTTTTGCCGAACAAAATACCCCTCTGTGGTACTCGCCTTGCTTTCTGTTTTGCTGCACTGCCGCAGCCACCGCTCTGCGCTACATCTGGACTACGTATATCAATCGTCGGATACCCCTTTGTGTTGTCCCTTGCCGCCCACTCTTCCTGTCTCTGTCCCTTGCCCCCCTGTCTCTCTTCTTTCACCTCGCCATCTTTTCAACGTTTTGCCTTGTACTGTTTTGCTCAAGCCAGGCGGCGGAGCCCGCCGGGAAGGCTGCCGCCGAAGGGCAAAAGAAGAAGCCCTTCGAAAACATGAAGAACAAACCGGCCCGTGACTACGACGGAGTCGACCCGTCCTTCGAGGTCTGTAGCGGTAGACTCCTTCTAATTACTCCCGGCATGGTAGGCATGCGAAACCAATGGTGTAACGACTAAGGCACTTCATTTTTACATGAGTACCCCCCCCTCCCCCCCCGCAATCCCCTACTACATGGGTAGCCGTGTACTAGGTTCAGAGCAGTAGTCGTTCAAATACATCTTCCGTAGGTGCGATCGGAGATGGTACTGCACACGGCTGGTCGCGGTGCTCAGCGGAAGACCCGCACGTTGATCCCCAACCCTTCCTTCAATAAACACACCCCGGGGCGGTTGAGCACACGGAAACCCGTCAACTTCTTCTGGGAAATACTCACACCCGAGCAGGCGCCCCACCCGAAATCAAACGCCACGGGTCTACTTATAGCTAGATATACTCAACACGCAAGCACACGCCACTTTTTTTTCCGACGCGGGGCGCAGGCAACCCTGGAGGGCTCCATGACCGCCGGCCAAGCGCAGATCGATGCCGAGACCAAGATCGCCGCACACACGCACGCGCGGCTGGAGAGCCTGCTGAGGGGGGCGAGGACGGAGGAGTGCCGGGAAGAGATAGTCACGGCGTACCAGCGGTACATGGGAGCGCAGGCCCTGGTGAGGCGCGCGGATAGGACGAGAAGGGAAGGGGAGGGGTGTGTGTGTGTGTGTGTGTGATTTTTGGCCCTCCTTTGAGTGGACTTTGAAGCACGTCTCAGGAGAGCGGTAGGACCTCGAGGTTTTGCACGACCAGACAGGCGTCGACTGGACCAAACCTCGAAGCGAGCTCAGTAAAGTCTCATGACCGTTGTTCTTGTTGTACAGACGAAAAGTAAGCTCGGAACTCTGTTGCAGTCCACGCGGCCAGTTGTGTGTAGGAAAAGTGACATGTATCACCCCCAAGAATCGCTGAGAAGGCGGGCCTCTCGGCACCCGTCTTGTATGTAGAGATGGGACGGGCCGGGGCGAAGAAACGGGACGCATTGGCGCTTGCGTTCTGTCTTGAAGGCGCAAGTGTTTGGTATTGATAGCGGCAAGACAAACCGCACACAAGAAGAAATATAGCGGGGGGCGGGGGAGATTTGTGCGTGTGTGTGCTGGGTCGATGGTGAAGGTGTGTAGCAGCACCGTATCACCACCACACCATCATCCACACCTACTTGTCCTGCAGCGGATGTCGTACGCGCTCCCGCCTTGATGCGACGGCAACCTGCCCTTTGTTGCTTATGCCCCAACCTCTGCTCCTGCCCACGCCTCTGCTTTCTTCTCCCTGTGGCTCCTGTGCTTCCTTCTACCTCCTGCTTGCTGCTCATGGTGTGCTCCCGCCACAACTGCTAACTCACAGGAGAGATCCTTGCCATTCGAGGGCGAGAAGTTCTCGCCGCAGTGCGCGGACCCCAACAAGCGGCCGGACATGCCGGAGACGGGACTAATCGATCCGGAGGAGGTCCGCCTCGTCTACGTTATCCTCGCTCACGACGAGCCTGCTCAGATTGTTCGGTGAGAGCTGTCGTGTGTGTGTTGTCCCTTAACCCCGCGCCTAAGAACTCCTCCACGCTCTGCTTGATTGACTTGTTGGTGTGGTTCGATGCTCTGGTTTACCGACCGAGTTGTACCAGTGCACAATAGTCCATTTTCGATGTGCTGGCATGTTCGAGTTTTGTTTCTGTGCTGCCACCGTGTTTCAACCACCAAAAAGCGATTCTTGTCGCCCTCGCGATGCCTTGGGTCGTCCTCACTTTTCTCGCCGCTTTCCTCGGGATCGTCCGTTATCCTCCTCATCTGCCGCCGACGCTGCCTCTGGTGTCAGTGATATGAAGGATGATGATCGCGCTGCAGCGATGTACAGATCGGAGATATTGACTATGATAGTTCCGTCCGTTTCATCGCCGTTGCCCCCGTGGTCACGCAACTTTTCATGTTTTCTTGTGTTTCCCTCCTAGATGAAGACCAAACAGACGTCGTTAGTCCCGGATCGCGCAGCCTAAGCCGCGCCGAGAGTGTACGTGCAGCAGGGGAATGCGGCCCGTCTTTCGGAAGGCGCGCCTCCATGATATTTTCGCTTCCAAGTCCCAACATAACGAAATAACTTCTGTTGGGTGACTCTCCCTGTCCTTCGCTTCTGACGCTTGTAGACTTATCTGGGGCCATGATTCAGCTGAAAAAAATGTCATTCCGTGGCTGATTCTCTTCTTGTGTGTATCTTGTGTGTATGTGTGCCAAGGCTTGTGGACGCGCTAGACGATACCCCCGGGCGCGACCGTACGTGGTTCGTGATCCACATCGACGCCAAGGCGGACGACGTGCAGCAGGAGATCAAGAAGGTCTTCATCGACCGGCCGAACGTCATCATCATGGAGGAGGACAGGTGCGTGTGTATGTGTGTGTCTCTTGACTTTGCGTCGACCGCGCCAACCGGCTGACCAATAACGAAGCCGCCAGTCTTGCAGCGGGATAAAAAAAGCGTGTTTGTGTTTTGTTTATTTGCATCGACCGCGCTAACCGGCCCACCATTGTGAAGATGTCCCTAAATATAGTGTGGCTATCTACTAAATTACAACGGAAAACTGCTCGAGGTGGCCCTGTGAACGTGGGTGCATGTGCGTCATTGAGTGGCACCGACCGCGTTAACCGTCTGACCAACGAAATGCTATTCTAGCTTTGCAATAAAATACCAAAACGGTCTCCGAAAGGTGTGTGTTTTGTGTGTTTTCGTGGGAAAGGCGACATACAGTATGGATGTGGTACAGACATACGCGTGTTTCCGTTATGGTCGAACGATCAGTTTTTTTTACTTTCTTTCTCGCCTTCTGTTCGAGGTGTGTTACGTATGTGTGGCAGGAGGAGGGGGAGGTGTGTATCTGCGTGTGGGAAAGACCCATGCAATCGCGTAGCTGGTAGCAAGACGGGTCTTGACCCGGTACCGCTGCCTTAGAACCGAGATGTTGTGCACGTGGTTCAAAGTCGAATTTCGTCCCTGGCGCGCTAAAAGTAGCACGAGATGTTGTAGGGTTCCGGCGCCACGATAGCCTTGCTGAATATCTGGCGCTCATGGCCGCATTGTCTCCGCCGCCACCGCCGCTTCTACATTGCGTGCGCGCGCGTGCTAACTGCACTGCTTCGTGCGAACACCACAACCGCTCGAACAAATCGAACCGATCGGATCGGATCGGATCGCCCGCAGGCTGGACGTAGCCTGGGGGGGTTTCAACGTGGTTCAGGCGTCTCTTAACGCGGTGTCCCTTGCCCTGGAGAGAGAGATACCGTTCCACTGGCTGTGGATACTGAGCGGGACGACCTACCCGATCGTGTCAAACGACGCCATCCGCGGAAAGCTGTCCTCGCACCACCCGGAGTCGGTGAGTTGGTCGCGCGCGCCCCTTGAACCTTTTGCTGGCGGGTGTTACAGTTGTTGTTGTTCTTGTTCTTGTTATTGTTGTTGTTGTTGTTGTTGTTATTAATGTTGTTGTTGTTGTTGTTGTTGTTCTTGTTATTATTGTTGTTCTTGTTGTTCTTGTTCTTGTTGTTCTTGTTGTTGTATGTTTTGGTGGTGGTGGTGGTGGTGGTGGTGGTGATGGTGTTGTGTTGCAGATGTTGTCCTTCTTTACACGCTTTGAAGTCTCCGACGAGGTTGCGTCCAGTTTTTGTCCACAGAAGAGGTGAGAACACTATTCTTTTATTGTTGAAGTTGCATGGTGTTCTACGTGCGCATCGTCGGCGGGAAAAGGTGCACGAGGTTTTTTGGGTCTGCTGCGACACTCATATTTTATTCCCAGCGGAGAAGGCACACCAGCGGGAGCAGGCAGAGAGGGAGTACGGCACATCCTAATACGGTTGTTGCTGTTATTTTCACCGGTGCTGGTATTGCTGCGGCACACCAGCGTATTTAGGAGACCGATGCCCATGTCGTCCATGTGACAGTTCCTTTTCACCTCATTACCTCTTTCCTTGGCTTCTGCTGCTGCTGCTGCTTCTGCTTACTGCTGCTGCTGCTTACTGCTGCTGCTGCTATTGCTGTAAATACGTTGTCGTCCGTTGCTGATCCTTTTCTTTTCTGAAGATCTTCATGGAGGTGAAACCGTCGGTGCACAAGCCGGCGTCCACGACGTGGCACTACTTCGTCGAGTGCGACTCGGCCCTCCACCGCATCGGTCGCAACCTCATCCCGAGGGGCCTCGACATGTGAGTGGCATCCCACATGTGCATGCGATACGGTTTTTACCGGCAATCAGAATTCCCAGAGGTCCCGCCCCGCGCCGTTATTCCGTACTGTCGGCCGCATCGGTCGCCGAGGGGTCTCGACACGTGAGTCACGTCCCATACGACGATACGATTTTTGCGAGACTCCGGGCTTGCCGTTGTGGTTACTGTTGTTGTTGCCTCCTCTTTTCAGAAGGCAGTTAGCTCCCCAAGTATCCCGTTTCGTTGGCGGGGTTTGGCGGTTTGGTCCAACCGAACTCTGCGAAAGAGAGGCAGTGGGTAAGGAATGCCAATATTGCCTACAAGGGAGAAACCCTTCTTCCCTCTCGACACTGGAGTGTGGTTCTTTTTTATCCTCCCTCCCTTCTCTCCTTGTTCCACCGACGATGCTCGAAAGGCTAGAACGTGCCGCAGCAATGGCTGTGGATGTAATTTCTTCGTGTCGTCACAGGCGATCCAACGAAGAGATAAAAAGCTATTAATAGTCAATAAAGCGAGATTCTCCTATGTTTCTTCTGTCCATGTTTGATTTCGTGATGAACAGTTAGCAAGGCTATCCTCTTATTGTTCCTGTGGTAATTTCTGTCCATGATTGCTACAACGCGATGGAAAAATCATTTCTGTACGTGATTTGCTACAATGCGACGGAAAAATTGAGCCCAACGTTTGACAAAATTGCACGCACAGGTACGTCGGGTCGCAGTGGCTGGCGATGCCCCCTTCCGTCGCCCGGTGGCTCATGGAGGACACGGGTCTGGTGCCCAAGTACCGCGAGTACGCCAAGCACATCGTCGTCGCGGACGAGAACTTCCTGCCCACCGTGATCAAGAACTCCCCCTTCTGCGGGAACCTCGTGTCCTCCAACCTCGTCCACGTGCAGGTAAGATGAAAGGGGAGGGGCTGTGTACTACAAAGTGTTACACTCTGAGCGGGCGGGGGGTCGGTGTATGAGACAATGCTGTGGAAGGGAGGGGGGAGGATGGATGTCGAAAGTCGACTTTGCAGAGGCCCTCTTTCCTTGTTTGTGGGGATAGAGCGATAGAGGAACAAGCTGGGCGGAGGGGGATCGAGAGATTGATATCTAGGAGACTTTTGGTTTTTGTCTTCGTCGGGGTGCCCATCTGTCTGTTGTTGTTGCTGCTGGCTGGTGTGTTGATTGTTTTTTTGTCGCTGTGGTTGGGGGCGTTGGCTGGCACGATTGGTCCCTCGCCCTGCTGTCCCACTGACCCCTGCGGCCCTAACTCTCGACTATAGCAGATGCCATCCCATACCTCCTCCGTCAATCCGCTGACCTCTCTCCCCCGGTATGTCCCCCTCGTCGATGTGCCTATTCTATATTTGTGGATGTTTTCAAGTTCGACAAGTACGAGCACACGTTGGACAGGGAGGATCGGCGAGCGGACAAGTGCCTCATGCCCAACCCGGACCACTGTGGCCGCTCGCCTGCGACGATGACGGTGGACTACCTCTCCGTCCTCGAGCACAGCTCCATGTCAGTTGATACCGCCGTTGTTGTCGCTGCTTGGTTTGTCGTGGGCATGGCGGTGGTGGTGTAGGCGGTAGCAGTGTGGTGTTATTGCTTATGGTGACGTTGCTGTTGCGCTGGAGGTGCCGTCGCCGCTGTCGGTGGTGATGTCGTCGCTTCGAGATTTTAGAGCGTGGTGCTCTGGGCTACGGTTTCATCTTCCACAGCCCAACGAGGTGATCCATCATCCACTATCCATTCGCAAATGTTCGAAACCGTCGCCTACCCGCAAGGCGTGTACCAAGCCTTCACCAAGCCAACCCCACCCCTTCGGACCAACCCTCTACGGATCGTTCACCCAACCCAAAGGAGTTTGGTGTAAAGAACAGGTTTTATCTTGAGTGTCAATGACACCTCAGCCTCGCAAAAGTTGCGTTGATCCGCCGTTCCATATCAACGGCGTCGTTGTACCCAACCCCTGCCTTGCACAGCTCTCTCGTCTCGCTATCCCCTTTTTCCTTCAGCCCTTCGTTTCCCGCGGTTCCTTGCGCACGCAACCCGATCGCGTGAGGAAAGCTCGACCCAAAGTCACAGCATCCGATCCGTACGTCACCAGTGACTGGCTGGCTACGGGCTCCCGAGACGAAATTTCGACGATCCTACATACACATACACGCGCATCAAATACCCTATACCTTCAAAATTCTGTTTGTCCGACTGATCGTCGAGACTCGGCAGTTTCGTAAAATGTTCTGCTTTGTTCTTTGTTTTTCTCTCGCCATCTTTCCTTTTGGTATGAACTTTTCGTGTTACAGACCGCACATCCACATGATCTTCTTCTGTAAAGCTTATCCTCGTTTTTTTTTTTTTTTCGTGCAAGGCTGTTCGCGAGAAAGTTCAACCCGAAGGACTCCCAAGTCTTCGACGTTCTCGACATGGTCCGCGACGGCGGCCAGGCCTGGAGGGAGGGCCCCACCTTCGACTACATCTCCATCCGATCGCCGATCATCCATTCGTCGAGCGGGGGGGCGGCCGAGCACTTGTGTCTGAGTGTCGGACCGCCACCGCCGAAGAAACCGGGGAGCCCTCCGAACACGGAGGCGGTGATGGTCAAGTGCTCCGGCGCGGACCCTCGTCAGATCTTTAAGCTGGGGCCCTGCAGTGAGTATTTGGTGGGCGCGGGGGGGGGGTGGGGGGGGCAGGATCGTTCTTCACGTGCCCAACGAAAGGGTTTGCATGTTTAGTTGGCGAATTCTTCCTGGGGTGGGCGCTAGAGTTGGAGGCGAAGGCTCTTATGGGAGGGGGGGTAAACGCTCGCGGCGCGATGGTAGGAAACGAAGGCGCTGACGGTGCGCTTTGATTTTCACGGTGGGTTCTGGAAATGGCCGGGAAACCGACAGCAACCAAGGAGTCGACGACTGTTAATATTGCTGTTGGACTGCTGTAAAGTTATTTGACGTCGTTACTTCAAAGACCCTCAAACCATACAGAACCCATGGTGTGCAACCGGACGCCCCCCCTCCTCTGGTACCGGTGTATCTCTCGTCTGTTCTCCACCCCCCCTCTTTTCCCCCGTAAGAATTTCGCTCTTTGCCGCCCCTCCCCCCGCCGGACCTCCCACTGCGACAAAGTTGTTCTTGAATCCTCCTCACTCCATCTCAATTGCCCTTTGGCCTCCGCGTTGGTGCGATTTTTTATCTGTCACAGGTTCTGATGGTGACCTGGAGCTGGGAGAAGGGGGAAATGGGTACATGAAGGTAAGCAAGACGTTTGTTCTTCAAAGGACCAGGAGGCGGGGGCGGGGGTGATGGGCTGATTCTTGACATGAAGTTCCTGGGGCGCTTTTTGAGCGCGCATGTCATGTGGTCCTAAGTTTGGCATCGTTAACGGCACGGTGCAGGGTTCCTAGAACGGCGACGCAGCAAGCCCTCTCCGTGTGTGTTACTGTAAAGCGTTCATTTTCGTCTGTCTCGTTTCTCCTCTGAGGGGGCCGGCATGCTGGATAGAGGGAAATGTACTGCCGCAGCATATTGCTCCTGAGCCCTCCCCCCCCCCCCCTAACCAATAACCACTATTTTTTTTAAAGGGTTCATGTGGGAAAAAATGGCCACACAGTTGGGGCGGGGGAAAATGTTGGGGCGTGGTCCCTCCTGGTTCATTATGAACCTGGGGGGGGTTTGGCTGGGATTTTTGGGAAAAGGTAAAGGGGAAGGGGGTTCCCCTTTTCCGTAAAAATGAAGGGTGTTTTTTTTTTTTTTTTTTTTTTTTAAGGGGAAGTTTTTTTTTTTGGTTTTTTCCTTTTTGGGGGGGGGGGTGTTGTAATTGTTGTTGGTTTTGGTTTTTTTGGTGTTTTGGATTAAAAGTATTACTTTAATGGAGAACACCAAAAAATTTTTGTTTAAAAAGTTTTTTTTTTTGTTTTTGTTGTTTCTGTTTTGGAACAATTGTATCACTCAATCCGGGGTTGTGGGGGCCGCTTTACCGATCAACACCCAAAAATTGTTGTGGAAATGAAAAAAAACCCTTTTGTTTGCGTTTTTTTTTTC